CCCCATGGGAAAGCCGCTACTGTTTATTTCAGGAGGATTTTTTATTGTTCTTGATTTTTTTCTTAATTTTTAAGTAATGTATGAATCCTCACTCATGAATTTATGCAGGTTAATGTTTAAGTAAATAATGTTTAAATACATTTTCTATTTACATCTGCGTGTATGAAAAAAAAAACTAATGATTGCATAATTTTCCCCAAATTTCACAACAGAAAATGTGAGAAAAATCAAATTGTTATTACCAGAGTCATCTTAATGCAGTTTTAAAGGGTAAAAATAAAATGCATTAAAAAAAATTGAACCTTGCATTTCACTGATTTTACTAGAACATCAGACATTCTAAAAAGTCTCAAACATTCAAACACCTAAAATTTGTTCTAAAAAATTCAGTTATTCAGTCATATTTAAACCATATTTCATATAACCACTAATTAATCTAAATATTCAACAATGTTTATGCCATTTTCATTATGACATACTAAACCACAATTTCTGTTATATTTCATCAATGACTTTTAGTTATGAATTAGCATTTGGTATATAATGCTAAATTTCCTGACACCTTGGTCCCTCTTTCTTGTGTAATTTCAGACTTCTGGGATTGTGATGATGGATTCTGATAGTTCCTGTACTCTGATGCTCTGACCTTTCTATTTTCGGAAAGTCCTACATACATAACCTGATTTGTCCAAGTTTTTAGTTCACATCGCAGAGGTTGAATACTCTGAAAATGAACAAAAAAATGAACAAAGTTTAAACTATTCTTTGAGATGTTACACTAAAACAAGATGTGATGTTTCCTTATAAGTCATGCTACACATGTTAGAACTGTTCTGAACATAATTCATGAAGTGATAATGATAGAAATAATTGATAATTTGAAAAAAATAATAAAATTGTCGCATATTACTATTTACAGTACTGTGTCAGGCAGCAGAGAAGGCAAGTGTTGTGGAAAATGCTTATATTTAAAAAGACTGGCAAGCAGAAAACAGATCCAAAAAACTGGATGTAATCAAGGTGGAGAGACAGGCGTGAGGTTAGGCAATGAACAAACAGGGTATCAAAGATCAGGGCAAAAATCACCAAAAGGAATAATAAACCAGAGTCAAAACCATAAACAGCAATCAGAAATAAAGCCTTGGTACATCAGTTGCATGAACAGAGCTGAGGAGATACTTTGCAGTGTTTGAGTGTTTGGAGTGTGCTTAAATAGGTGAAGTGGTGCTTGAGTCCAGGAGTGTGTGATCAGTCATCTGGTGACTGTGAATGTGACACTGAACGTGGTGTGTGGTTTTTGTAGTCCAGGAAGTCCATGTTTGCAGTTTGTGGTGCAGTCTGGGATATGGAGTTATGACATACTATAACAGCCACTGATAAACAAGCTCTTTTAATATTGTTTATACAAATTAGCAATGGCTAGCATATTGACAGTCTCAAGTCAAGTCAAGTCAAGTGGAGTTTATTGTCATTTCAACCATATAGAGCCAGTTAGTACAACAATGTTTCTCCAGGACCAAGGTGCTACATAAGACAAACACAGAACAACACAGAACTACAAGGGACTACATAATTTATACATAAAGTGCACAAGTGCAAACATGTGCAGACAGCACAAGACAGTACAATGACTACTGGGACAGACAATGGGCACAGTAAGTCCCAGTGCGGCGCCGACCAGTACACAGTTCTGTTTAAAAGTGAATCTAGTGACAATATTGCAAAGGGTACAAGAGTACAATACAAGTAGCTGAAATAGTTAATACATAAGAGCCTATGTCCAGTATAATAAGTATTGTAGCAGCATAATGTAATGTGCAAAAACTTGCAAAAGAATTGCATGGAGGATGGAGGATGCTCAGTTGTATGTGTATATATATGTGTGTGTGTTCCTTATTAACTCAATTTTGCACTCCGTTTAATTTAATCCGTCTTGTGCATTTATGTCAAAGGTGAAGTCAAGGGTGAACACGTGTTTCCTCAATGACACATGAAGCCAGACAAACTGCCTTATTTGAATATCTGAATATATGTATGTATACTGAATGATATAAAATTGAATAAGTGTGATTTTAGAAAATCAGAGTGTTATCCCCACACCCAAAAATAACCTTAACTTCTTAAATTCCTACAGTTTGATGGTGATGACATGTCAGGGGTGTAATTAACACTATGTCTGCATTAGCCCGACTAAATTAAACTAATTAGCATAATTACTCCCTGTGAGTAGCTACAGTGAGATACAGTTCAAAATCATTTCCTCTAAGAAATGTAATATTTATACATGCTAAGCTTTGACCCGAAGCAGTTTAAAGCAGATTCCCAGAAAGAGAGAGATGAAGAAAACGAGACAAACGTTGCTATGGCAACTGCCAGCCACAAGTTTAAACTTAAGCTTCGTTTCATTTTCTCAATTATGAAATTGAACCATGAAAAACTCCTTTTTTATTGCAATCTTGCACATGGCGAATAACAGAAATTACACAGGATGAAAGCTTTTTTTCTCCTCTTCCTCCTTTTTCTTTCTCAGCTATTCAGCACTGTCAGGATTTCAGAGGACTTCAGTTCTTTTTGGAACATGAATAAAACCATCCGCCAATTCACAGTAATAAGTCAAATTTCATTAGCTGGAAAGAGAGAAAGAGAGAGAGAGAGAGAAAGAGAGAGAGGGAGCATATTGCAGTAATTAAATTCAAAGACAACCTCAGCTGGGGGAAAAGCAGACTTTTGAAGAAGTGTGGATTTGGTGCAGATCTCCATATTAGAGGTGTAGATGACATCAGCTGTAAAATCGAGTGGTTATCTTTATCTTTCAAAAACAGTGCAGGCAAAATGAAATGCTGACACCTGTGTGCAATTCAGAGCTGGTAAAGTGTTCTGATGTTAATTTCTGCAAGAGCTGTCAAATCATTCTCAACTCTCTGACTGGATTCCTCCTTCACTGTCTCACTAATTACAGAAAACATTTGTTGTTAATAAACAAACAAAACTTTGTATATTAGTCACAAAGTCACTGTGTATTATCACGGAATCAGAAAGTCTGAAGGACACTGTGAAGGACAAGCAGCTTTGGGTGATGTTCACATCAACCACCACAATGGGGAAAAATGTGATCTCAGTGATTTTGACAGTAGAATGATTGTTGCTGCCAGATGGGCTGTTTTGAGTATTTCTGTAACTGCTGATCTCCTGGGATTTTCACACACGACAGTCTCCAGAGTTTATTCAGAATGGTGCAATAAAGAAAAAAAACATCCAGTAAGGGGCAGTTCTGCAGATGGGAAGGCCTTGTTGATGAGAGAGGTCAATGGATAACGGCCAGACTGGTTTGAGCTGTCAGAAAGGCCACGGTAACTCAGATAACCACTTTTGTAATAAGCAGAATGCACAACATGTCAAACCTTGAGGTGGATGGGCTACAATCAGAAGCAGAAAACAATGTTGGGTTCCACTTCTGTAAGCCAACAACAGAAAGCTGAGGATGCAGTGGACACAGGCTCACCAAAACTGGACAGTTGAAGGCTGGAAAAATGTAGCCTGGTCTGATAAATCTCAGTTTCTGCTGAGGCATACAGATGGTAGAGTCAGAATTTGGTGCCATAAGCATGAATCCATGGAGTAAAACGGCCTTGTGTCTACATTCCAGGCCGTTAAGACCAATCAATCTTCGCTTGACTGTCACAGCCAACCATGTGCCACAATTTATCCATCTTCTAACAGCTACTTCCAGCATGATAATGCACCATGTCACAAAGCAAAAGTTATTTCCAACTGATTTCATGAACATGATAATGTGTTCAATGTTCTTCAGTGGCCTCCCCAGTCACTGGATCCAATAGAATACTTTTGGAATGTGGTAGAATAGGAGATTCACAGCATGAAAGTGCACCTGAAAAAAAATGAGGCCCATTGGGGCAGTCGGGGCCTAATGGTTAGAGAGTCGGACTTGTAACCGACTCAGGTCCGGCAGGGATTGTAGGTGGGGGGGAGTGAATGACCAGCGCTCTCTTCCACCCTCAATACCACGACTGAGGTGAGATCCTTGAGCAAGGCACCGAACCCCCAACCGCTCCCCGGGCGCCGCAGCAAAAAAAAGGCTGCCCACTGCTCCGGGTGTGTGTGTGTGTTCACTATTGTGTGTGTGTGTGTGCACTCGGGTGGGTTAAATGCAGAGCACAAATTCCGAGTATGGGTCACCATACTTGGCCACACGTCACTTCACTATTTGATCACCCTGCAGTTTCCGTAAAAAAAAAAAACAGTAATTATTTCATCATATATTAAATATTTGCAAAATGATTTGCATTTTTTACACACAGTGACATGTTTAGTGCATTGATGTATATGTACCATTTTTATTTGTGCTGTATAATGGAATATAGTGACTCGCCTGTTCACTTTATTGCACACTGCTTATTGAGCTACACATCATTTCACTGGGGGCTTTTAGAGGTCAGAGTGACTTTGATTCAGCGAAGACTACGTGAACACACACACATATTTTGAAAGAGCTATTTAGCCAAACAAGGCTAAATTCAACATGACAGCTCACCCCGAGTCGAACAAAGCACTGCAGTACAGCATGATCAGAAGATATTAAATGTTTTTCCTCCACAGCTGTGTAAAACTTAATTAGTTGCACACCACAGCAATTTACCAACTATTACAATTTTTATTTATTAAAGAAAGACATCACCATGCTTATTCATTTATGGTTGAATTCAATGTTGTGGAATGTCTGTAAAACCAGTTAGATCCTGTTATCACTTACATTATAGCAGCTATAAACAGCACTGTGAAAAATTACCCTTATAGTCATTTAGAGAAACTGAAATAAAACAATTCTTATTTTTAATGTTTTTAACAGTACTTAGTTAATTTTATATTCAAAATGATTTTGTTAAGTTTTTCTTTGTTCGTCAGGCTTGACATATGTACAGATTTATATAGATTAAACAGTTGTTGTTGCTCTTTCGGCTAACTCCAGTGGCTGGGGTAGGTTCTCTGGGCAGGAATCAAACCCAGGTCCTAGTGGTGAGAGCGCTGTGGCCTAACCACTAGACCTCCAGGGACCCGATATAGATTAAAAAGTAATGTTTGCTAATTAAAACTAAATAAATTCTAAACAACATTTTTTTTTCACAAGGCTAAAACTATGATAAAGTCTTATTTAACACCTACCTCTGACTGAATATTCACTGCCAGTGTGAACATTGCTGAAAGGATCAAAATGCTTGTCAAGTGCCTTAGCACCAAACCCGTGGTTCTGAGAGAGCTGTTCCTTCTGTCTGTAGGTGATGGAGACAGAAGCATGGTGGGCTGATCAAAGGTCACAGTATTACTCACACGCTGTATGAAAAGAGCTTTCAGAATTCTCAGTATTAAGCCCGATGTGTAATGATGACTCACCTCTGCACCTGGGTCACAAGTATCTGTGCGTATAAACACTTTCATAGTCATCAGATTCTCTTCTCCAGTTTGAAAAAGGGGAAGTCTGTAAAATCGGATCGCAGTTTAGACCAAATTATACAGAATTACCCTTAGTGACAAGTCGATCATGTTTCTTGCAGTTTGTGTCTTCTGGGTGTGTAGCGACTGCTGTGGGTGTTGCTTGTGTGCATGGACTGTCCAATATTTTTACTACATAGTAGGTAAATAGTAGGTACATAATGGTGAGTGAAACAGTAAATGGGAACTAATTGCAGGAAGAACAATTTGTGACTGGAGAACTAAAGAAACGTTGGACCACGTATGCCGTAGAATTGGTCTGAGGAAACGAATTTGTCACTTTCCCATATCATCCGTCATTTGCACATAACTGAGAAAATCTCAATTCAAATGTTGCTTGTCTTGCTGTCACATCTAGTCTGTCATATTGTCACATCTAGTTTGTTCATTAGGGATCTAAATTGGCATCCAGGTTCTGTAAAGCTGCTTTGTGGCAATATCTATTGTTAAAAGTGCAATCCATATAAAACTGAATTGAACTTGAAATAATCTCCTCAGACTTCAGAAGGCCAACACAGCACTGTCTTAATTGGTCTTATGGTCAAGATTCTGTGTTAATGATCAGAAGATGAGATCCCAAGAGTCCAAGTTGCCATTTTTTGGTCTCCTGATCAAGGTTCTTGACTACAGGGATGATGTTCGATGTCTGACTCTGCTTGGACCCCAATTTGGCTCACTCCGTTTTGTAATCCACAACCTCTTGAGGTCTTGAGATCTTCTGGATGATGATACATTCCCAATGAGTACACAATTCCTACTTCTGGATAACACAACCATCAAAATATCACATTGATGACATCTTTAGCTAAACCTTTTCATAAGAAAGGGAAGCGCTAGTTGTTGATTTAGCCAGTTTAAAAAAAAAAAAACAGTTCCTTTTTAGCACCCTAAAGGTTGGTAGTTTTATGCCTTTGGAGGAACCTTGTTAGCCATGCTTTCAAGAAAGCTTTGTTAAACAAATAACTCTTGAGGAAGCCTTATTTAATGTGGATAACTAAACATTGTGCATGGTGAGCAATGGCTTCTCCATGCCGTTACTGTTAGGACTGCATTCTAACAAAAGAACATCTAATGCTCCTTTACATTTGCCCACAATGGACATGTCACCAGTGCAGCTTTGTGGATGGAGGAGTGTTCATGATCTAATGATATTACATTTGTTGAATACCACAATAAACCATGTCAGCAATTACGGATCCACATCTGGACTGAGGTAGTCTGGTGTACAAGAACTTTTTTAAACCGATTTTTTATTAAAATAAATGAAAAACCCTCCATAAATTTCTAGAGCCAGAATGCCAAAAAGGATCTTTTTCAAGCATGTATTTTTACCCATATGGTGTCAAACTGTTTTTTTTTTTTTTTTTTTACTTCAATGGCAGTGTTGTGAATCTCTCTGTACACACACACTTTGCCAAAAGCACCCTTTGTGAAATAAACAGAGCGTTGCACTAACAAGGGACTCGCGGCTCCTTCACAGCCCCATTTCGCTCAAAATTCTGTTGGAATTTTGCATAGTGAGATATTTCACGTTTGCTTACAAATGAAGGTGTAATTAAAGCCACCCATTAACACAAATTAAGCCTCATTTATCAAGCTGGATATCAGTGGATTTATTTATAAATCATTCTTATGAGCATTTACACTAGAAATTTGATATGGAAATCATATAAATTCAGAAGAAAAAACATTTGTATCCTACTCATGCTCCTGAGTGTGTGTAAATTTAAGAATAAGAAGACTAACTAATGTAAACCTTAGTTTATGACTTCAAATCATAGAATTTCTATAAATTACTGCACTTAAATTAATTACATCAGTTAAAACAAATAAGACTAATCATTCATTTATGACAAAAGAAATGCCGCTGTGTAAATGGAAGACAGTCTGTCTGCGCACAGCCGTAAGCCATAAACAAATGTCTCAGCTGGAGATTTAGTGCTCACACATTCTTATTATTATGATTATTATGATTATTAAATATTTTTATTGGCATAGACGTTTTTATTGGCATAGAACTTCCACTTCTGCCTTTCAGCCTTTACCCTTATCATTTATTTCATGCTCCCAGCCATCTGTGCCTTCACCCTTTTATAGGGTTTTTCACTTTGTACTTTACGAGTGATCAACATACCCAAGTGAATATGAAGAAAACGTTTGTAAATCCAGTGGAAATTTTTAGTCCCGTTTGGCTTAAGCAAACATTTACACACAACTTTACCGAAAGATCGACAAGAGGCCACATTTATGACCACTGCGTCACATTTGTTTGGAGAACCTTTTATATCCTTTTGTAACCATCATCACACCTTATTTTGTAGAACCGTAAACATTTTGTAATCATTTGTATCCATTTATAACCATTTTTCACACGACGACTGAAAACCTTAAACATTTGTAACCATTTTTAGTCCATTATCAAGTCAAGTCAAGTCAAGTCAAACTTTATTGTTAATTCTGCTATATGTACAGGACACACAGAGGATTGAAGGATTTGTTTCCCTCAGACCCATGGTGTGAGACACCAACATAACAAGACAAAATAATAATAAAAATAATAATAGAATAAAGTAGAATAAGAGAATAAAGTAAAATAAAATACAATATGTACACTACAGACATTCACAGCACATGTGAGAGTGTAGATATTTACATTTTAGTGCAAAAAAGAGAGAGCAACAGTAGTAAAAGTGGCTTGTGCATTTGTGTGATTTGGGGTGTGTGTGTGTGTGTGTGTGTGTGTGTGTGTGTGTGTGTGCGTTGGGGGGTTACAGTTTAGTGACTCGTAGGGCAGAGGGCAGAGAGGGGAGAGAGTTCAGCTTTCTGACAACCTGGTCGCTGAAGCTGTCTTGTGATTTGGGCCTGGAGGCTGTGAAATCTCCTCCCTGATGGCAGAAGCCTAAAGAGGCCTTGCAAGGGGTGGGTGAGGTCCCCCGCTATGCTGAGTGCTTTCCGGGGTCCCCTGCTATGCTGAGTGCTTTCCGGGTTAATTGGGTGTTGTAAATGTCTGTGAGGGAAGGTAATGTGGCACTGATGATTTTCCCTGCTGCATTCATTATGCGTTGCAGTGTCTTATGGTTTCGAGCAGTGCTGTTCCCAAACCACACAGTGATGCAGCTGGTCAGGATACTTTCAATGGTGCCACGGTAGAATGAGTACATGATGGGTGTTGGGGCTCTTCTCAAAAATAGAGGAAATAGAGGCATTGTTGTGCTTTCTTAGCCAGTGGTGCAGTGTTGGTGGTCCAGGAGAGGTCCTCTGTTATGTGCACACCCAGAAACTTGGTGCTGCTCACCCTCTCCACAGCAGCACTGTTGATGAGCAGAGGAGGGTGCTGGGTGTGTGCTCTCCGAAAGTCGACAACAATCTCCGTTGTCTTCTGTATGTTTAGAGAGAGATTGTTGTTGGTGCACCATATGGCCAGTTGTTGCACCTCATTCCTGTAGTTTGATGAGACCCACCATTGTTGTATCGTCCGCAAATTTTATGAAGAGGTTGGTGCTGTACATTGGTATGCAGTCCTGGGTTAGCAGGGTGAAGAGCTGGGGGCTGAGGACACATCCTTGTGGTGCCCCTGTGTTCAATGTAATAGTGCTGGATGTGTTGTTGCCAGCCCAAACTGGCTGTGGTCTTCCAGTGGGAAAGTCCAACAGCCAATTGCACAGGGAGGTGTTGATGCCAAGCCGGTCCAGGTTCTGTATTAACTGCTCTGGGACGTCAGTTGAAATAATTTTAGACATTTTTTTTTAATCACCTTGAAGACTAACACCTTGCAGACTGAGCACATTCAAATTACTGCTGAGGAGAAAGCTATTTTGCTGTTATGTTTGTTTTGCATTTCGCTCATTTCATACTTTATTTTATAGAATTATAGTACATCACTACTAGCTATTTATGGTTACCTAGTCTAAAAACCATTCCCTCATTATAATTCTAGACAGTTAGCTGTGTTTAACACTGCATTTTATGAGCTATAAGCTAGCTAACTATTTATGATTAGCTAAGATACTCCAATAACAGGAACTTGTTAGAGGTTCAGTAGCTACAGTAGATATAAAAAGTCTACACACCTTTGTTGTATTTGTTATAATTGCAGGTATTTGTGATGTAAAAAAAACCTTTCAGAGGAAAAAGATCTTTTTCCACTTTTAATGTGATATAGCAACCAACACAATTCAAGCCAAAAACAGAAATGTTTTAGGGGGATAAAAAGAAAAAAAAACTTACAATAACCTGGTTGCACATGTGTGCACACCTCTTAACTAATACTTTGTTGCTTGTAATACACACTCAGTGTTTTTGGGTAAGAGCCTAAGAAATTACCATCTTGATTTGGCAAATTTTTCCCACTCTTTCTTGCAAAAAATGCTCCAGATCAATCAAACTGGGGGAGATCTCCTGTGCACAGCCCTCTTTAAGTCATTTAACAGGTTTTTGATAGGATTTTCGTCTGGGCTCTGACTGGGCCAATTCAAAACGTTGATCTTTTTCTTCCGAAGCCATTCCTTTGTTGACTTGGATTTGTGCTATGGCTCATTACTGTGCTGGAAGGTGAATTTTTTTT